TTAAAATAATATATGTGTTTTACCATTGCAGGTATTTCCCATCCAGTTTCCGTTACCTGAACACATGCATGTTCCTCTATCCAATGTCCCGCTGTTTTGACACGATAACTGACACTCTGAAAACGACCAAACGCAACAACACTTTTGTCACTTTTCCAATGGAACCTTTATTTCAAGGCAGTCTCACCTTGGCGAGCTTTCCTCTGCAGACTTATAAATTTAACCAAAGGCATACGGAAACCGTGTCATCTGGTTCGCCTCTCAGTAGGGGCAAAAAAAGACCTGCATGTGTGGCATGTCTTCCTGCATAGTTTTAATGGCAGGACCATCACCCCCACTAGTTCTGGTTAATGAATGATGACATCCAGGTCTATACAGGTGCTACCAAAGGCATCGGGTTTGGGGGCCATTTTCAGGGTCGCTGGTTCAATGGCGCATGGCCTCAGAGCATAAAAGATGCAAAATTGTACACAGCGTGGCTCAAGGTTTTCCCAATAGTAGTAGCTATCAAGCTCTGGGGAAAATTACTCTCGGGGAATTGGGTCCTTATTTGGTCCGATAATGCAGCCGTTGTTTCCATTGTTAACAGTTAGTCATTCAAATGCCCAAAGATAATGAAGCTGGTGCGATGTTTTGTCTTACAGTGTTTCAGTGACAACGTCCTGTTAAAAGCAAAGCACATTCCAGGGTCAAAAAATGAAACTGCCGATGCCCTGTCCCGCTTGCAGATGCCTCGGTTCAGGGGACTAGCCCCTGAGCAGCCAGCTGCAGCTCCGAAGTCCCGCCAGCCTTATGGAGTCTCTAAACACAGCAACAATTCGTCTGCTTGGGGTTTTGAGGCCTCATTTTCCACTGAAGAGCACATGGGCAGCATACAGCGGAGGATATAGCAGTTTCAGTAATTCAGGCGCCAAGCCATCTCCCATTTTCGTGGCCAGCCCCAGGTAGAGTGGCCACGTTATGGTTTCCATTGTCAATGGAAGGGTTTGCCCAAGAAAGTCTTGCTACCAGCCGTGTACGGGCTAGCAGTGCCATTTCTTCTCCTTTGTTTTTTATACCTTGCCAGTCAACCCTCTTTTTTCTTTCCACACACCTGCCTGTCGCTTGTTGTTCAATCTGTTTCAGGCATTCGGCGTATCTGGGTGGTGGAGGACAGTTTAGTCTTCAGAGCAGGCCAAAGCCCACATGGACAGTCAGCTGGTTCTGTTACTTGGCTTGGAACTCGTGGGCTAGAATCTCAGCGCTTGTCCCCTTTGTCCGTAGCCATCTAAAGCGCGGCCCTGCCCCTGGTACAATCATTATCCATGTGGGCACCAATGATATTTTCTCCACGCCACTTATCAGAGAAAGGTTGGAGAAGGGCATTTAAAACATCAGACACGTACTACAAGATGTTAGAATTATTTGGTCCGATATTCTTCTCAGGCTCTTTTATTACAGGAATCGCACCCAGGAGTGGGCGGTAAGTCTATGCATGCTCTATGTGCATACATAGGCTATGCAACCAGCTAGCAAATGCCCATGCAATCAGTCATTTACACAACATCCACCCAAGCCAACAGTCAGTGTACTGGCGGGATGGCCGCCATCTATCTGCACTAGGGAACAAATATTTTTGTGAGAATCTGTACTCTGCATTGGCCTTTTTTGAGGCCAACCCAGGTGCCCTCCTCTTCCCTTCCTCCCGCTAGGACCACAGCCTATGTGCTTTATACCTCTCAATCCAAGCCTATTCATGAGTCGTTTCAGTCCGAAGCCTCACAGTACATCGTGTATCAGTTGCTTATTTATCCACATGGGAGGGGGGGTTCCCGCATTGAGAACTTGTTTGGCGTAGAGGTTCCAGGTTGGAGCAGGGTGTCTCTGCCCAATCCCTGGCTTGGAGGACGTCTTCCTCGGGCTTACCCCCTCGTACCTTGAGGGGGTGGGATGGGCGGAGGACCCGTCTGTTGACGGGCGCTCGTGTTGTAAATCCTGCACAGGATAGTCGGGGACTTTCTTGCCAATGCTTCAACAAAGCATGGGGGATGCGATGCTCTGTTACTTGATTTGTACCGGGGAATATTAATCATCATGGGGCGACAGTCAAACCACTAATGCATATTTCTTGTTAGTGGGCGACAGTTAAATCCACCTATATGCGTGTTTCTTCTTGTTATCTAATGCCAGTTGTTAGCATAATCCTGCCGGATCCCTTTCTGCAGGGAGAGTTGGCATAATCTTGCCAAACGCCATACTTAGCCACCTCCTGATCTTAAGAATGTATAATTATTGACAATGTAAAGGTCTGATCATTATAAGCTCAGCAAGAGCTAAGCGTAACACAGTGTTTTGTTACCAGTCAAGTAAATTTCGCTATCAGTTGAGTAAATGTTGCTATTAACCGATCAAGTAAAGGTCTGACTATTATAAGCCCAGTTAAACTAAATGTAACTCAAGCGTTTGTTACCATTAAGTAAAGCTTTGTCATTGTTGTATAATCTGGGCACCATGTTAACTTCGGACAGACCAGGGCTTAGCAATAAAGCTCGGCGGGGTACCGAGGCAACTGGCAGAAATTGTTGTTCGTGTCATTCCTTCCTACATGGCTAAGTTAGTGTCGTAATGAGAAGGTAAATGGTCAAATGTCTTTGAAACAGGAAGTCAAATGCAAATGAAAATCACTTGTGACTTCAAAATTAACATCAAAGGTGAAACTATTTATAAGACCCACAATTAGTTCATTGAATGACTATAGGCCTGTATCACTGACGTCACATATTGCAAAGTGTTTTGAACGCTTATTAATGAATTTTATGAAATCAATATTGCCACGTGATTTAGATCAATGGAACCTGGGAGACCAACTTAGTCAAAATATGCTCGTATTTTATTCATTGATTATTCATCAGCTTTTAATACCACAATGCCATCAAAGCTTTATCAGAAGCTGATTGATCTTAATTTACCGGGATCTTTATGTAAGTTGGTTCTAGAATTCTTACTGAAACGTAGACAGATTAATAGAATCGATTCAAGGTTTTTAAACCAATTGTTGTGAGTACTGGAACCCCACAGGGTTGTGGTCTTTCTCCTTTATTGTACAGTTTATTTACGTATGATTGCAAAGTGGATGGTCCATCTAGCGTAATTGTAAAATTTGCTGACGACACTACCAAGGTTTAATTTGTAATGGCGATGAATTTAGGTCTCTACATCAAGTATCATCTCTTGCAGAATGGTCTGAATCGAATAATCTTGTCTTGAATGTTAACAAAACTAAGGAATGATAATTGACTTTCGCATAAATAAAGGTCCAATTAAACCAATTGTTATTTACGGTAGGAATGTGGAAATTGTAGATTGTTTTAAATTTCTCGGCACGTTCATAATGAATATCCTGTCTTGGTCAACTCAAGTGTCTGAATATTTGAAAAGGGGCCAACAACGTTTGTATTTTTTACGTAGACTCAAATCCTTTGGTGTGAGCAGACATATTTTGCTTAATTTTTATAGATACGTAATTGAATCTTGTCTGACCGGCTTTATTATTGTCTGGTTCAATGCTACTCCTAAGTGCGAAATTGATGGATTGGATCGGGTGGATGAAAATGCATCACACATAATAGGAGTTAAGTTGGATGACATTAAATCGATTTATGATAGGAGAATGAGGAAGTGCGTTCAAAATATTGTCAATAATATGCATCATCCAGTAAATGAGATCTTCCATGTGATGCCTTCAGGAAGGAGAATGAGATCAATGGGTGCAAAACCAGCCGTTTCAAAAATATTTTTATGCCATCAGCCGTACGGGTTTTTAATAATGGGAATGTTTAATCATAAAATAGTTATGAATAATTGGTTTTAGAAACAGATTTACATCATTATTTGTCTGGGGTTTTTAGTAATGGGATTTCATAAAATGAGTTTGTGTATAGCAATTTTTGTAAAGTTTATTTTAATCTCTATGATAATTAATTTAATTAGTTTAATTGTATGCTATTTTTAATGGAGTTATTTGTATGTTTATGCAAGTCCAACATTACAAATTCTTTTGATTGTTTTTCTTTTAATCATTGGTTGAATAAATTAATCTTAAATCTTGAAACGTAAATTTCTTTTAGTTAAAAAAAATAAAAAAAATTGCGCGACGTGGAACAAACAAAATCCAACCATACCTTTCATTACCGAAAATAAAGTGACACTGTGTGACAAAACACGAAGTTAAACACTTAAAGTGCACGAAACCGATTCCCCAAATCCTGTGAATATCACTGATGATTGCTTTAAATCAAGAGGGAAAATCGATGTTAACTCCAAACAATTTACCATATGCACTGTAACTCATATTTGAACGAAATGCCTTACCCAATTATACAAGCGAAAGTCATTTGTATGACATATATTTCTGGGTAACTTTAACTCTTTTTGTGTTTTTACCATGCGACAGGTATTTCCTATCCAGTATCCAGCACATGAACACACGCATATTCCATTGCATTACTAATATTCCATTAGCCCATACTCGCTCGTGCAGGTTTTTCCCTGGGTACTTCGGTTTCCTCCTGGCTCTAAAACTGGACCTTTTCCCTAACTCCGTAATGTGATGCTGATTAAAAAAGTCGTGGCACAAGAGAAAGATGCTTACGTCAGCAAGCATGGTCCATGCATGTCGGCACCTTAAACGTTACCGCTACGAGTCAAGGGCATACACAGTCGGAGAACGACTGAGGTCAGAGGCCTGTACCTGCTCCTGAGATTTAGACGAGCATCTTTGGGGATAGGACGTACACAGCTGGAGGCTTGTAGATGTGGGCTTTAGACCGAAGCGTACATTGAGGGAACATCGTGGGGTACTGAGTTTCAAGAAGTTCTGACATTAGGGAAACTTCTACTGTAAAATTATCTTATTGTGATGGTGTGATTTTGATGCAATAGTTACATTGGATAGATATTGAGAGGACTGTTGGACACTGTTGTTAAGATGAATGTTTAGATAGGTACGGCTGGTGTCTTGGTCGTGGTTATTGTTTTCGAGATTACTGTATGTAAACTGATGTGTATTGGATTGGTACTGAAAGAATTCACGATTAGTGTATGTAAATCAATGCTGGCAGGATTGGTGTATTGGATTGGTACTGAAATAATTCACGATTAGTGTATGTAAATCAATGCTGGCAGGATTGGTTTATTAGATTGATACTAAAAGATTTCACGATTAGTGTATGTAAATCAATGCAGGCAGGATTGGTTTATTGGATTGATATTGAAAGATTTTGTAACTGGATTAAGATTACGCAAAAGTTTTGGGTCCAAAGTATATCATACTGCCGAATGGTTGAAAAATGTTGTATTTAGAATTTCCCCGAGATATTTTGAGAAAGAAAGCTTATTTTCCTGTGAGAATTTACACAATGTAAAAACAATTCTGTAAATAATTCATATCAAAGAGTGCAATCCAGATTTAATTCCCGTGTTCTGTACACCACAGTTAGGCGACTGTGACACAGACATTGTGCAAACAACAAACAAACAAGCCAGGAATTAATTTTTCTTTCTACTTTGTAAAATTACAGAAATGTGGAAGATTGGTCGAATTAAGTGCCCTTATACCCTTTCCCGTTTGTTCATTCCTTGACAACTGTTGAGGATTTCCATTAGTTTTATGCCATGGGTTTCAATTCCGACTAATCAAGTTATCAGGCATCTGGCAAAATTCCAATTCACGCCCAGCAGTATTTCTTTCTTGACGTACCTTTACCATTTTGAAGCTTTTGAGATACTTTGGCCATTGTTGGAGAAGGATAAAAATAATTTGGGGAATTTGATCACACGATTATGATCTCTGGACCGTTACTTTAAAGGTCACCCATAGGCCACCTGTTTCCATTTCCACTTTTTTTTTACCTCAGATATTAGATTTTAAAAAATGTGTTTTTACCATTGCAGGTATTTCCCATCCAGTTTCCTGCACATGAACACATGCATGTTGTTCTATCCAATGTTCCGCCGTTTTCACAGGATAGCTGACATTCTGTCGACAAACACACCGACAATTAATCTTCAGTAATCTTAAACGAGGTTTGGTGAGTTGTATTACTTCAGTGGAAGTTTTGTGCTCTGATTTCCTTTTCCCTTTTGTTCATTCCGTGAAAACTGTTGAGGATTAGTCCAACCAATACTGCTGTCGGATATTTGGCAAACTTCCAACTCACAATTCAGAAGTTGAAGCATCACTTTTGAAATAGTTGTGATACTTTGTCCATCTATTGTGGAAGGGTAAAATCAACTTGGGGCTCTTTTACATGTTGAGAGTCGATGGACCAGTACTTCTGAGGTCAACAGAGGCCAACTTTTTCCAGATCTGCTTGTTTATCTCACGTTTTTTATATACAAAAAATGTTTTTAACCATCGCAGGTATTTTCCATCCAGTTTTCGTCACATGAACACAGGCATGTTGCTTTATCCAATGTCCCGCCATTCTGACAGGATAACTGGCATTCTACAAACAGACACGCCAATGACAAAAAATGATTCCATTTGCTCTTAGTCTCATCTTTGCGCTATTATCAAAAAGTGAAGTGTTGTGAAATGTATCAGTTCAGTGGAACTTTTGCGCTTTGATACCCTTTTCTCCCATCAGTTTATTCGACGAGAAATGTTGAGGGTTTCCTTTAGTTTTCTTAAAGCCGTGGGTGCCAATTTCAAATTGTCATCGTGCTATCAATGTTTGGCACAATTCCAATCCACAATTGACAAAAATAGTTTCTTGAAGTATCACTTTTGAACCTAATGAGATACTTTATCCATTTGTTATGGAAGGGTAAATTAAACTCGGGGATTTGCTTTTTATGTCTTTCGTCATGGTAAGAGTCATTGAAACATTGGTTTTGGGTTCACCTTGGGTCAACTATTTCCATTTCTGCTTGTTTACCTCGGATATTATATTTAAACAAGAAATGTGTTTACCATCGCAGGTATTTCCCATCCAGTTTCCGTCACATGAACACATGCATGTTGTTCTATCCATTATCCCGCCGTTCTGACACGATAACGCCGCACATTCTGGGAACAAACCAAGAAACACACCAACAACCAAATCGTCATTCAGTTTTTCTCTCATCTTTGTAAGCCTACTGTTATCAAAATGAGGGATTCTGGTGAGCTGTGTCAATTCAGTGACATTTGTGGTCTAATGCCCCCGTCTGTTCTTTTCGTTGATGTTTCTTTATTGTTGACCCTACTGTAGTCTGGTTTTTTGTGGAGGGGGGTCAATATGTGCATATCAAGTAGTGAATTATTTGGTCCATATTTTCTACAGTTGCAAATATCTGAAGAAAACTGTACCCAGTGACTTGAAATGAAACAAGGACATAGATAAGACAAATAAGGGTAATTCCAGAAATTAGGGGTTGAAAAGTGTGAAATTTTTGTGTCTCTGTTATACATCTGACCTTGTTTGACATGGAAATTTCTCCGTAATTGATTTCAAACTATTACTATTTGTTTGGCAGGTAACTTGAATTAATTAATTACTCTTGGTAATTAGAAAATTTGTTCTGAACTTACAAAATCATGTCAGATGTGACAGGGACACACAAAAAATGGACCCCTAATTTCTTGAATTACCCATAAAGTGTTTTCTTCGATATTTCTGCTTGCGGTTACAAATTTTCTGCATTGCTTTTCCTCCCTTTTGTATTTAGTTGTTTGAATTTTTCAAATATTCTTTGCTCTGACTTCGGTACTGGATATGACATTCGTGATGAGAAGGAAAACATACAACTTGATAGACAACAAATGTATTTCTACGTTTGCATGACATCCATAAGCACATGGAAAAGTCCAGTTTTTGGATGAGCCTTAACCCTTCATTGCCACGTCACATGAACGATTTTGGTATATTTGGTAAGTAAGATTTGAAACTTTGCATGGCGCAAGTTAAATAATAAATTACCTGAGATGAAGGCTTGTGTGTACACCATGGAATCAATCTCTATTGGAAGAGGTGTGGTCCTTAGAAAAACTGATGAGTGAAAACTCGTCCCCTCCTGAGGACGAGCAGAGCATCCTGGCCGAAACGTTGAGTTTACACTCAGCGGTTATTCTACGAACCACACCTCTTCCAAAAGAGATTGATTCCATGTGTACACGCAAGCCTTCATCTCAGGTATATTTGGTGTCAAAGACTGCGCAAAACTTAACAGGAAAGACCGTGAAAGGGCAATTTGATGTTTGAAACGGTTTGAGAATAGCGGTCAAATTTCCACAGGGAGGGGTCAAACTGATTTCTCAGTCTGCGTGGAATAAAGCCATGGGTACTCATTTGGACCAATCGTCACTATCACAGATATTTGGCACAGTTTCAATAAACTTTTCTAGAGTTATCACTTTTGAAACTGTTCACATGTGTTGTCCATTTTTGTGGAAGGGTAAATCTACTTCACGACAATTTTCTTGTTTACACAATCAGAGACGCTACTTCCAAGGTCCCCATAGGTCAACTCTTTTCATTTTTACTTGTTTACATCGGAAATTATACATTTTAAAACATCGGAAATTATATATTGTAAAATATGTATTTTTACCATTGCAGGTATTTCCAATCCAGTTTCCAGCACAAGAACACTGGCATGTTTCTCCTTCGAATGTCCCACCGTGCTGACAGAATATCTGACATTCTGCAAACGAAGAAACGCAAAAAAAATTCACGATTCAATTTTCCTTTCATCTTTGTACCTTTATTAAAATGTGGAAGTGTAGTGAGTTATTTCAAATCAGTGGAATCTTTTCTTTCATCCCTGTACCAATAAAATGTGGAAGTGTGGTGAGTTGTATCAACTTCAGTGGAAGTTTTGTGCCCTAATACCCTTTTCGCGTCTGACCTTTTTTAAGTTAAGGGTTTCCATCAGTATTAAGCCATGGGTGCTTATTCTGTTCCATCCTCATGTTTAGTTATTCGACACAATTGGATTTAACAAATGACAGAATTAGATTTTTGAAGTATCGCGTTTGAAGCTGTTGAGATACTTTGTCAGTTTATTGTGGAACAGTAAAGCCAAGTTAGGGAATTTAGGGATGTCCATCGCGACTGTATGGGCACACAACGCCGGCCGCTACGACCACTAAAATAGACTGGGCCCCGCAATATTTACTGTTTAAAAACATTTTCATGTACACAGGACATAATACCACCACGTTTGTCTGGTTCCCAGATGTAATTGTATAATACAGAAACGACGTCATCTGAAAAAGAGTGCCCGACTAGATGTAGGGGGGGGGGACTAGAGAGACTCCTTTACTGTACATAACACTCAACCGTGCCCCATCAAAATCACGTACGCAGTAGCTGGATTCCAGTCAATTAAGCAAGGTTTGTAGCTTTTGGACATAGTTTTACACCAAATTAAAAAAATGTTATTTTGCCCACGCGCAGGTCTACCGCGACGCGTGCGCTGACTAGAAAACGGAGAGCTTTTTGTCGTATACTGTTCCGCCATTCTTGCAGGATAACAGACATTCTGAAAAAAATCTTGTGCTGTTATCAAAATGTGGAAGTGTGGTGAGTAGCATTGATTCAGTGGATGTTTTGTGCCCTAATGTATTGTTAGTAAAAATTTTGTCAGAGTGTTGCAGTCGATACCATCACAAAATCAGACACAAGACCGGACACAAGACCAGACACAAGACTAGACACAAGTAATAGTGTGAACAATGACAAAGGAATACTTTCGTTTCAGTTCATTTGAATAGAGCCTGAAAGTGAAAGATTACGCAGCGAGCTTCTGGAACCCTCGCGCGGTCCACCTATGGGGATTTTACATGGGGCCGTCCTATTTCGTTCGATAATTTTTGGAAAAATAATTCCTAACTGAAACCACCCCATGAAACACTCATGTTGGAACTTTACCTTTGTCTTCCCCGAGTAATATTTAGGAAAAGTCACCCGGAGATGGGTAAAAAACGAATTTTATTAACGACCTTTCACGTCCGGCGATATCGTACCTAGGTCTCCTTGTTCATGCCCGTTTGTTTTCAGACCCGTGCTTGTGTGAAAATGAGATTGTACAACCTTGCAAGATTTGCCTACCTGCAATCGATGGGTTCCAGGTTCCGTTGAGTTGACATCACGCAGTTGTCAGAAAAGGTTAGTTAAAATATTGCAATCCTTGGTAAAAGTAGAATATTGCTTAAAGTTACCTTATAAATTATACAAGTGTTTGTTTTTATCTGTTTTTATTTCGGCTTTTACCGACAAACTACCATTAAATTTCAAACCATAAATGTTCATCTGCGTACGAGACCGCCGCATTGGACTGTTCATGTATTTTAGATTTTCGGAAGTATTGGCCAGGGGTCAATTTTTGTCACGATATTTCTATAGTAGGTCAGGTAAGTTTTCAGTTTCTATAAATTGATATACTAGCAAATATTTTCCAAAGCCCTTCTTCCAAGTTGGATATTTAAAGAAGTAACTGAAAAAAATATTACAAATTCTAAAAGCTTTGCACATTATTTTTCCTATCCAAGGGTTCCGGAAGCGCGCCACCAGGAGCAACTTTCAGGCAATAGCTTGTGACACGAAATCAGACTGGAGGTCTTGTGTTGGTCTTATAATGGTTTTGTGTAGTCTCGTGAAGGTCTTAAGTTGACTCAACTACAACACAGATTTTTACAATTGCAAGTATCTCCCACCCAGTTTCCGGCACATGAACTGACGATCTTCAAACATACAAACAACCCCAAACCCCAAGTTACAAACAAACCATTTTTTTTTCATTCTCCGTGTGGATAAGTGTCGAGCTTACCATAAATCTTTTTTCTCATGTTCACCTTGAATATTAAATATATAATTAATGCATTTTTACCATTGCAGGTTTTTCCTTCCCAGTTTCCGGCACATAAACAGTTGCATTTTCCACTGTCTAATGTACCCCCGTTCTGACAGGATAAAGTGACTGACACCATCTGAGAGGAAAGAACAAACGTACCACTGTTAATTGCTATCATGCGTACTGTTAGATGTAATGTCATTCCTTTTTCCGAATTAAGCAGACACTTTGAAACCATTTTTTATAAGGGTTCTTTAAACACAACTCGCATAAAATGTTAACTTGTGCGTCATTTGAATGCAACTTGAAGTTATGCAAATGACAGTGTTTGACTGGTAGAAGTGTATGTAAGCGCGTGATTTTACAATGGGTTTTGGTTTTCTTTGCTGGTAGAAATCAATGTTAATAAGGTCAGAATATCTCTATGATTTTGGAGTCTCTAAGCATGCATCCATACATCAGCAGTATTAAATGCGTCATTTGAAGAACAGTCTTACGGTAAATTTATCCACCCAGATATGGCTGTTATTCTGAAGATTCTTGAAGTCGCAATACGCCTCCTCCGTGCTAGTGCAGGGGCAGAACTTGATGGCTGGTGTCACGGAAGAACGCACGGTGGCATTTTCCAATGTTTTTTCTGCAAAAATTGTAAGCTTCCCTTTCGTAGAATTCGAGAAATTCAAAGTGTAGTTCTCGCCTATAACGCCAAAACGTGACAAAAAGAGACTGCTATCGGTAAGAGCACAAATTATATTAGTGGTCATTTCCACATGTATTGGCAAAACAGATCTGCACTTCATACCTATAATAGCCAGAATTAGTGGGTGTTTTATTGTACATTACAAGCGTATTTTTGCAGAAATCATGCACGGAACAATTGAAGGTCGTATCTAGCTTTCTGGTACAGTGTCACTAAATCTCACCGTTTGGGATATTTTCCTGTTGCACAGTATCATTGATGTACACGCTGAACTTCACAGTTTTAGCAGCCGGCTCCGTGGTTTTCAACTGAATTGGCAAAGGCATATCCTGCTGCACCTCAAGAATGTTGTTTTGTAAGTCTATCACTGGACCGCTTTCCCCTGAAAACACAGTACCCACATGGACAGGGTGGTAGTGCAGTATTTAATCGTGTGCACGGAAACCTTCATCGACTTTTTTCTTTATAAAAAAGCTGAGCACTGGCCAGCCTGCAGTATGGCGTGTGCCATGATTAGGGAATAACCTGAACAAAACTGCTCTGAACTAATTACACTCTCTCAACTGAATTTTACAATGGTCGCTGTATTGTATGTCATTGAGATCTGTTCAAGTTCTGGCCAAAAATAAAATTGGCAAACTGATTGTGCACAGTTGTCGGACTCAAGGACGCAAAGGGCATTTTGTTCAGTTGCATGTCTTCTATTTTGGCGGCGACCCTCAGCAAGTCCTTACACGTTCAATTTACATGCAGAAATCGAGTTAAAAGTACTATCACTCAAATTCGTGCTTTCTGTTAAACTCACCTTTGGAGCAGTTAACAAAAGAAACCGAAAAAGCTAAAATCGAGTTTGTATCGAGACATGCACTACAGTTTCACTGATTTCCGACATTAAATTGAGAGTACAATGGATGGACCGGGATCCAATGGCGTCACAATATGACATAGTTTAAGTTAGCGATGTATGAAATGTCGGGCAAGCTGTTGCGACATCACGAACTTACGCTCAGTAGTGCCCGAAGTGATTTTAATTTTGTGCGCATTTCAGAGAACTAAGTTATTTTTGTTTTCATGAACTGACACCCAGTATAGTGCAGCACTTCCAGCGCGCACTCCGTGCATTTTCGCTTTCACGAACTGACACCGATTTTAATGTCACCACTAAAAACGACTTTTCATGAAACCTTTTGGCAATGCAACAAGTATATAAATTAATCAAATTCACGTCAAAAATTTTCCAAGCATTTTTCTTTGCGGTGTATTATCTTTACGAGCTCGGTTGTCAGTTCGTGAAACCGAAATTGTTGATGGCGGGGTTTTCACGAATCGAAACCCACTTGCGGATGAGTGTCAGTTCGTACTGTCGGTAACCTGTTGTCTCTATACCCTACGTAGTGAGAGGAGGCGCTGTAGTCTCACGTGGGAGCGAGGGGGCTGTAGTCAACAAATTTTGCATTTAATTGTTTTAAATTAAAACCCTAACCCCCTAAGGTGTGTGTAAGATCATATTGAAATCGGAAGATTTAGGACTGTTAGGGTTAACCCTTACAGTCCCAAATTATAAAATTTCAATATTTAAATGAATGGTCCGCCATTTTGCAGGTTCATTGCGTGCAATATATATAATTTTTTCCGTCTAAGTGAAAGTACACCCCCCGAACTTATTGACACCATTATTTTTAGGTTCATTTTAGGGTCCTGAAACACATTTTAGATATCAACATTTGAAAAAAACCGATGCTCTGAGGATATGGTACGCCAAGTATGGTCCAAAATAGGAAAAGGCATATATCAGTCAAGCTTTAAACTAAAGTTGAAATTAAAATTGTTATTTACATGTTTTATACATTTTTTTAAAATTGGTTTTTGGTTCGGACTTTTTCTGCCAGATTCTTTTACCCATTGGAGTTGCGTGTCAGGCGGTGGGAGACTCGTTCTGTGTTGATAGGTGTTTCAGGGGACGGCTGGTTCAGTGAAAGAAGTAGAGAATCTTGGTCACTGGAGGCATCTTGGCGTTGTTAGTAGTAGAGGTGAGTCGGTTTCACCCCCAGACCACGGTCAGATTGAGAAAATTCTACCCCTCGGCTCACAATTTTTAAAAATTTAAAAAACCAACTTGGTTTTCATAAGACCGGTATTCGATTTTACCACGGATCGGTGAGCGATTTCTCGGTAAAAGCGAGCGAAGCGAGGGTGGTTGGGTGCAAAACTCGGCTCTCCTCTACTACTACAGTAATGAAGAGGCGCGCCTGAAAAAAATTAGATTAAGTTTTCAACATTTTTTTAAAAATCAGATGGCTCTAACTTTAATCACTAGATTTAAATACGCTAAATTAGTCGCCGCTCACGCGACGTGGTTAATCGTCAACGGCTACGAGTCGAAATTTAATCGCGGAGGCAAAGCTCGACGTGCAAAATCAAAAGCACCGCGTTTGTTTAGTGAGAAAGACCAACACCGGCAAACAAGTTTACAAACCGAATGAAGTATTTATTCCAGATCATTTATGCGTCGTTTAAAAAATTAAAAATAAAGAGAAACTATATAAAAGGATATGGTAGACTATAAAACAAACGTTAATTGTTATTTCTGCAAAGACACGATAAATTCGATCGATTTGGTAGATTCTTACAATTGCTTTCGTTTAAATCCCGAACCACCCATTGTAAAGAATGCCACGTCTGCGCCAGATTTAACGATTGCTCCACTTGCGACGATTGTGGCAGATGTACCGATTGTAAAGAATGCCACGATTGTCACGAATGTAACGACTGCACAAGATGTAATAACTCCTCCACTTGTGACGATTGCCGTAGATGTGTAAATTGCGTTGCTTGTTTTAATTCATACGACTGCAAAATTTCAAATGACTTGGACGGTGCGAGGACTGTTACGAGTGCAGCCATTGCATCGAATGTTTTGGTTGCACCGCTTGCACCTGCTGCGTAAATTGTGTCGAGCTGGAACAAATGGATCAAGTGGTGCTCGTTGACGGTGAGCATAAAAAGTTGAGACACGCGCGAGAAAATGAGCCACTGTCCGATTTAGCGACTAAACTCGACACGGATTTATACAAAATTCGGCTAATTATTGAATACGAAACTAAGGTAGAAATCCCACTCAAATAAAAATGAGAAAAATTTATGACAAAGCCAGAAAAAATCATAACCATGTCAACCCAAGTATACATCGTTTCAGACGGCCACGAGCGTCTCAATGCTGACAACTGCGACTCCAAAGTCAACTATGGCCCATTTGATCCGAGTCGATTAATCATTTTAAAACCTGTGATTAAAGAAGGCAGTCAATGCAACTCGCCTACTTTTTACGATCACAACGGCCAAAATAAACGCTTGTTGATTAGGACGATCGAGTCATATTACGGCATAAACCCGCTTTACAAATACGGCACTCGAGATGAAGCGCCGGAAAATTTAATAGGGCGTCAAATTTGCCATCAAATACAACCAACTACCGCAAAGATACTCGATCACATTAATTTAGCTGTTTATAAATTCATCGAATCTCAAGGGTCTCATCACCCGTTTAATACCATAAACGCTTATAAAGCTAGTCGAGATATCGATGACCTTATTAAAATAGAATATGTCGTTAAACCACCTTCCACGGACAAGCACCAGGTGTACGTTAAAATAGATCCATATGCCTCTCTATTTGATCACCAACAGCAATAAGAGATGCGACGCGCAATCATTTATTTGCCCAAAAGACGTATACTACGGTTCTCACGGTTCACTAGTGCCAGTGTTAGGTATAAAGTCTCGGCGGCAAATGTCAAATCCGAATCCATGACAGCTGAAATCGTTTCTTTAAATCGATTGATTTGCGTGCGAAGTTTATCCACATTTCTATTTACAATTTCTAATCTCCCACTTCTCTCGATTTGTATATCTTCCAATTGCTCCTGGGGTTCTGCTCTTTCCTCATCGTCGTTGCTTCTTATAATTCATTTTTAACCTGTTGAATCTTATCGTCTAACTGATCTAATTTACCCTGGTTCAAAATGAGTGCTCCTTTTGCGGTTCATAAAAAATCCTCTAAAGCGGCTAACTCGCGATAGCTTAATCCCTCCATTTGAACTTCCCTACTTTCAATGAGCGGTTTTACAATATCACTGACTTGATCGGCTTCTTTAGGGAGCTCTTTAATTTCGGTATTTTCAGGTTTAATGGATCTTAACATGGATTTAGATTGCTGTATTTTTCTCCCATAATTTTTAAACCCTAAAACGTTTCTAATAAAGTCTTGAGCCGATTAATATTTATTTTCTCCAGTATAACCAGCAGCTTTAGCATTTCTTGCGATTGTGTCAAGACCAACAATTACTTTTGGGTTTCTTTTGTCGGTTAATAGCACAGCGCCATATTTATCATTACCTTTTAAAAATAATCCTTTGCCATCGCGAAATTCAAAATTTTCACAGTGAAATACTGACGGTAATTTAAAATAATCATAACATTTATTTAGAGTTGGATTAGTTATGAATATCCTTCTACCTTGTTTTATTGGATCACCTGTATAAGGCCTATCAACTGTTGTAATTGGTCCTGTTTTAACCGGCATTGTGGTCAATCCTGGTCTGACCGTGTCGCTAGTATCAAATGTGTAGTCCCACGTCATATTGTCTTTATCATCATCGTACTGCTTATCCCCTATATTTTCCAGTGGTATTTCTTCGGGATCAAATCCTCCTTCGGCCATTTTGATATTATACGTTTACATTATACTTTCATAATATACTTTTTTAAGCGCTTGACAAACTCGCAGGCAATATGCCCTATGACACTAACCAACCCTGGGAAGCCAATGCACCGCTATACACCGCGGTCAATTTTAACGCGTTTTCAACGGAGAATTTATTGAAATCTGGCGGCTTAATCTTAAGAAGCTTACTCGATATCATCGCGTAACCTAAAGAAATGGCTGAGACTACGGCACCGTGGTAAACCGTGTTGGCGATTCCGTTTACGTCAATTGATTTAGCGTTACTCATTTTTAATATATAGTGTTTTTATTTTTAATTTTATTCCATGTCTAAAATTTCTCGGTCGCTCGATTTGAGGCTTGCTTTTGGTTGAACAGTTTGTAAAGGCGGTGCTTGAACTTTCATAGGCGTCGACTTATTTTTCCAAATTAAAAAAAGTGCAAGCGTTCCAATCGCTAAACCACCCAAAATAAAATTTCTATTTTCCGAAACCGTTTCATAGATCTTATTTCCCGAGCTCGGGGCGCTCACTTCGCTTGCTTTCATATTTGCAAGTTGCTGCTTCATCTTTTTGTTATGTTCGGCGTTTTTACCTTGTTCTACGCGTTCCGGATTTTAACTTTCGTTACTGTCTGAACTTGGGATTTTTGGGTTTATT